ACCATATAAATGTCAATCCCGAGAATTCTAAACTAAGCATGACAAAGTAGTTTAACAGACATGCTTTAATTAAATCAACACAGAAACCATAACCTGATCACACCGGACTGTAACTGTATTATAATTCCATTTTCAGTTTCCATATAACCAACAGAGCATAAATAGATATTGTTTAACTCAATTCCATGGCATGCAAAAATAACTATAAGTAATTTATCATACTTGTAGTTTTCTGTCCAACAAGTTTATGCACTCAATTTTACAATAAAATCTTAGCACAACATAGACTTAAAACATGTATATGTTTTTATTCTTGCACAGACATATTCCATTAACAGTGAAGTAAGCTCTCACAGAAACTTCTAATAACATTAAGAAATTTAATTAACCAAAACCATACCTCTCTGCAGAACACTTAAACTGATTCCATACAATTTTAACGTTAGATGCTCTGAGTGTAGCTTTATAATATTCTGTTCTTGGCAATTTAAATTTACTCTAAACCATTCCTCACAGTATTTAATTTCCATTTAAAACATAGGAAATCAACCCCTATGAAGCCTTATCACTGCAATTGGAGAATAAGCAAAACAGAAAGTAAAATACCAAAGAGAACACCCATGGAGCAGACTCACCACCCTTAAATCTTAATTCCCACACCAGTCCACTATTAAATCATTCATTAAAGTATTGAACTCTCTTAGGAAAAACTTAGAAACTTCATAACCAAGCCTCTATCTCACTGAAAACCAAAAGAGAAGCCAATAGAAAGAAAAAAACGGGAAAACAAAGAATAGAGTAGGCTCCAAAAACACTTGGAGCCGCCTCCAAGTGACTTGGAGCCGCCTCTAAGTCCAAAGGAGCCGGCTCTAATCCCAAAAGGAGCCGGCTCTCTCCTTCTTCTTCTCCGTGTTCTATTTTCCGGCATCGTCTACTCCTCCGGCGCTTCACTGTGTAGGTTCCTAGAAACTGTACCTAGATCCCAGTATGTTCTAACCCTTGTTTCAGTCCTTATTATATCACTAATGTGGATTAAACAGAGAACTAAACAAGAAAGTTCAACTTGGAACAGTTTAACACAAGTATATCAGATTCTGTTACAGTTAAACTTTTAATCAAGTAAACAGACAAATTTTTTTATTTATTTTAAACATATAAATCATCCTGAAACTATTTAAGCATGCAAAGAACACGAAGTCTAAGGGAGAGATTTAAGACAAAACTTGCCTTACACCGACGTTCGTTTAAATTTTCCGGCGAATCTCTTCTTCGTTTTCTTTCTGTTTTCCTGCCGTCTCTAAAACTGCTCTCAGACTTACTATGTTGTAATCTTCTTCTTAAAACCCTACACAGGCATCCTAAGTGAGTATTTATAGGCCACACTAATCCTAGGTTCCCTCAACCCTAATCGAATTTGCTCGGCCCATACAGAAATTTAAGTTAAACAATGACGGCTACTGTGCATACCTAAAGGAACTATATAATAGTCACATTTAAAAATCTAATTAACTAATTTACTTTAATTACCCATTAACCAAATAAACTAAAAAAACATTTAACAAATAATTAAATAACACACCTAAGCAACTAAAATGAAATCAAATAAACAAGTCAACCAATAACTAATTCCAATTAAACCAATTAAAACATTAAATAAAACAATTAATGAAAAGAAAACAATTAAAGCATTAAATAAAATTAAAGCATTAAATAAAACAATTAATTAATACCGAGACTATCCTTTTGAAACTTAGGGGTATTACAACAATAATGCAATAAGGAAAATAAAAGAGAGAGAAATCTTGGGGATTAGAGATCACCACTAAGCATACTTTTCTACACCTTTAATGAATGATTAATGAGGAGAAAAACATGTATTGCAACAAATAGTGTGTGTGTGGTTGTTTCAATAAGCATGGATGACAAATTAAGCATATGTTGTCTAAGCAACATAGTGGATAACACAACATATCAAATTAAACCATTAATCCCTTCTTTAAGCTCACAACCAAACACATCACAAAATTAGAGATATATGTTACTTGCTTTCATAAGTATGGAATATCAACAACAAGTATGGATTGTCCTCCCATTTAACAACTACACTACAACTAAGCTAATGACAAGAAATTAAACTAATTAAACTAAGGGAGAGATACAATCCATCAAGAAATAAGTATGAACCATCAAATAAACCACAAGAACATGCCATTAAGCACTATGTCTTGACAATCTCTAGATCTATAACATTAATACACATAGACATGCATCAATAACACAAGAAATAGAGACAAACACATAAATATCTATTCTAGCATACATAGACATATGGATAGAATGAAATGATCAATTGGAAACATTAAACCATTCAAATCATTGAATAAACAAGATCTATATATTTGAAAGTGTTAAAACATGTATCAGAATACAAATACCTTCAAAAATACATAAATCAAGAAGTAAAAAGCATGCTTAGGGCTAACTCTAGCCCCAAGAGGATGTCTAGCCACTCATGGATGATGTCTTCCGACCCTCAAGGACAAGCTCCATAGAAGAAATCTGCTCATTGGTTGATGAAGAGTCTCTAATAGTGTCTCTAGCCTCCTCCTCTCCTTTGCTTCCTCACTAAGTATTATCTTTTCTCTAAGTATATCTATATGTGTAAAAGTGGCTCATATTCCTTATATAGGTAGGTCAAAAATTACCTCCAAATGAGCTGGGCTCGTACACCAATAATCCTCTAATGATTGGATATGAGACAACTTTTAATGAGCTCGAATTTGGATTTTTCTCGGGATTTGGGAAGTTCGATCGATCAAACTTGAGGTGAGATCAATTAAACATGGCTGAGATATATCGAATTGAAGCTGGATTGATCCTCAATGGCGGCGCCTTTTTGCATAAAAACAAATCTAAGATATTTTGAAGATATTTTTAGGAAAAGGACAAAAGTGGTTGGTAGGGTGGTACAGCTGGATAAAATATGGCATGTGGATAAGGACAAGAAAGTTCGATCGATCAGAGAATGATGTTGGATTGATCGAACTTTTGGGATCTCTGAAGATGACATCATGGCCTGGATCTATCTTGGAGTGCTGAGATCGATGAAAGTTGGATTGATCGAACTTTTCTTGAGATCGATCGAAGTTACTGAAATTCCACCCTTTGCTTCCTTTTGGTCTCCTTTGTTCCTTTCTTTGATTCATCCCAGAATTGCTTCATTTCTGCTCTTATTTGGCTGTGTTAGGTTATTTTGGGGATAAGTACCTGAAAATAAAAATAACACGAAATCAATCTAAAGTGGGAAAATAAGATAGATGAATGGACTAAAATACCCTCGCTTAGGGGGTTTAAATGCGCACTTTTCAGCACTCATCAAGTATCTATGTGCATGCATAGTGTTTGAGAAATTGTTTAGATGAAAATTTGTGAATTCTTTAAGTTTTCATTAAGTTTTTGAAATGGAAATTTGATCTCCAAAGAGAAATATTAGGCTTGACTTGTTTATGATTGAGGTAGATTTGGTGCAGGAGAAATTTTAGAACCAGATTTGGTATATATAGGGTGAGACATAAAGGATTTGTTATGTGAACTATAATGAAAGATATCAATGAATTTGCTTCCAAATTGGCATCTTTGTAAGCAAATAATAAAATGATGCTCAAAGTCTTAGTAAGGGAGCATACAAATTTGAATAATTTGAAGAGTTTTGGCTTATCACATGTTAGCATTTTAAAACTTGATGAAAGGTTCAAACTTCGAAGGCAATTGAATGTCTAATATTAGAAATTATAAGTGACCAATATAGCCAACTTGTTGGCTTCAGGGAACCTTGCATACTAATAGTTTGATGATTATTTTAAAGAATTCTTTATTATTGATTCTCAAGATTACTATTGTAATACTACTTTGTCTTTTAACAAAATTAACAAGCAAAATTTTTAGAGCATATATGATCAGAATCAGAGCATATAGGATCCAATGTTTAAATGATTTCATGTGACTGAAGGATTCTAGTATGTAATATGAGAAAAATTTTATAGTCTTAATTGTGTAGTAGAAGTAGGTATTTAAGATTAATTGAATAACCAAAAAATATATTTGTTTTAATTTTTCCTTCTTCTATCATTAGAGATAAATATTTTTTCTTGACAGGTGCATTTCATCAATTGGCTTCATTTCTTCAAACTATGTGATATACCCAAAATGTAAAAAAACTATGCTTGTTCTTTTTTATAAATGTTCTCTTACTACAAACACATTGCTTTGTGTTGTGTCAAATGTAACTCTTGCTGGGTTTGTTTTGCCCTTGTGCTTTGGGCTGTCTCATGGGCTGTTCTTGTATTTGGTTAGCCCCGGCTAACTTGTATTATATATCTTATTATCTTACAAAATTGATTTTACCTTTCAAAAAAAAAAAAAAAAAAAAAAAAAAAAAAAAAGTGTTCTCTTACTACCCTAATAATAGTTGTTTCAAGTAAGAATGTGTTTAGAATTTTGCATTTGCACTTTCTTACCAGCTATAAGATTATTTTACTATCTTCATTACCATAAAATTCATGAAGTTCAATTTTTTTTTTTCTCTACTTAAGGGAAACACGATCTTCATTGATATGACTAAAAACCTGTGTCAAAACATATCTAGATATTCACTGCATAGATGGTTCACCAAAATTTTTATATTTGTTTAGTTTTATTATTTATTTATTTATTTTATAATTCTTGTCATGGAAGCACATTTTTCATCCGAATTTGTATGAAGCTATTGACCTAAGTTTTGGGAGTTACATTTCATATACGATTTTTTGAAGGATCTCTTGGTTATTGAATCTTTGGAGAAGTCATTTGGAATTTTTTTTATTTTTTTTATTTTTTTATATTTGTAGTTTGTCATAGTACCTATTAAATATGTTGTCATTTTATTCCCTTCTATTAAATTATAATTTCATTCTGTTTGGGATTGTTGCAATAATTCCTAATGTTATGCTTGTTTTATTTAGGGATCACATTTGTAATGCGCAAAGAAATCTACATTTTAACACCCTTAACAGTAAGTGTTTGCTATTATTTCTATTCTGTTTTAGAAAGCTATTTCAACAAGATGAGACATCGATTGTTTTTGTGGCCATTCAAGTCAACACAATTTGACTTTTCGGCCTATCTCCTTTTCCCCTTATTACCTATGAACATTGAAATAACTGCTACTGTTTAGAACTTTTACTTCCATACCAACTTAATGTAGGACAAGTGTACAGAAACATTCTCCTAAATCCTGACATGAAATTTGATGTTAAACAACAATAAAGAGCACTTATTATTTCCCTTTTTTCTGTGCGCAAAGGTTAATGAAGATATGTATTTTCAGTTAAGGACTAGGTGCTTGGGGACTTTAATTAGGTAAGGAATGTCAGGATTTCATGTCAATTTTTTGCCATGACTAGTTCCCGTGGATATTAACTTTTGGCTGGTTTCATAGTGTTGGGTTTTTTCATATTTTAAAGTAAGAAAGGTGTTGGACTTGTCAAATATGCTTTTTTAGGGTATGAATAAAAGCTAGCAAACTCATCTATAAAAAAAACAAAGACTAATAACTCAATGCAACGTAAAATTTGATCAGTGAAACTCGAAGTGGGACGTGTCTTGAAAATTAACCAATCACTTATGGATTGCATCACGTGTAAAATTTTTGCTTTTAACTTTATTATATTTTAACTAACCCTTTTCAGAAATCCAGAATTATGGCAATGAAATGGATAGTTGATCTTTCTTTCTATCACTTTTGCAGATGAGGTCTACCATACTGTCAATAGTGGTTTGAGAGATTTGCCTGCAGTTGAGCTATCTACACTTCCTTTAATACTGAAGGTTCAAACTGATTCTTTTGTTCATTTTTTAATGCAATCTTAGTTTTCATTTTCTTCTTTAAGTGTTCTTTTTTGTTATTTATTTCTCAATCCTTTCTGCCATGATCATAATGGTGCTGATTAAAATATTTATGGATTTAGCTACTTCTTCTTGTTGCACTGGTTGCTGACTTCTTCTTCTTCTTCTTCTTCTTCTTCTTCTTGCACTAGTTGCTGACGTTAACTGCTTTTAGTGGTTGTATATCTAACTATTGACCTCTAATTGCATGAAATTTTCTTACACAAATTTAATATATACACGTAAGTAATTAAAAAATCTTTCCCTTAAGCTATTTCTTGCCTCTCACGTCTTTAGGGATGCGGGCCGGGCTACTTGTTCATGAGAAAACTAAACCCCTTAAGCTGTCCATCCAGCCCAGTTAAGGCCAACCATTTCGTGAATGCAGTGGCTGATGAAAAAATGGCTATTTTAGAGGATTCGACATCATGAAAGAACAACTGTAGAGCAGAGGAATATATGTTAGTCTTACAAGCAGATTTTGTTGACACTTCTTTCAGCATCATTAAAGTAGCTGTTTCCTATATAAAATTACTCCTCCCTATCCCCTTCCCTCTTCCTTCCAATATTCATTCTTCCCCCTAGTACCAATCACAACTTAAGAGCTTAGCTTTTGATTATGTACAGTTTTAATGAAGTTACTAATTTTAGTTTCAAAATAAATGTATCTCCATCATTTATTCAGCAAATAATAGCATTACCTTAAATTAAACTTGGCATCTAATATAGTTATATATGTCAGCATCAAAGTTGGAAAAGGCTTGAAACTTAATGCCTTATAAAATATTAGGCGCAAACAATTCCTTGTACGTGTAATACATACATAACATTAATTAAACTTTATTGAATTAATCCAAAATTTTCAAATAAATCTTTGATATGGATCTCCAACATATCCCAAGTGACACAAAATGTTTTATATAATTAACTCATGTAACCCGGCGTACGACTAATCAACAGGACCGTGCAAAGCGCTGCCAACACGGATTGAGTAAGGTTTGGACTTATAATTTATTGAGAAAAATTCTCTTTTATGGTATTTCATGAAAATGTGAAAGATTTATTGTGTATAATAAACAATTAATGAGTAGAATTGAAGAAATTCCAAAAGTAAAAACCATCAAAGGAAGGACCAGATTGAAGTCACTTTTAAAGTTAGTAAATAATATATAGCCAAGTTGATGTTCGCTGTGTGATGCCAAAACTGTGATACATATGGTGGTGTTACATTAATGTTGGAAATGAGAGAGTAGGTGAGAGCATTGTAGTTTCCTAGTGGGTTGCTACAAGGAAACTAGTATTTAGAGTAACTGGTAGTTGTGGCTTTATGCAACTTGTGTGAAACCTAATCTGTTTCTGGTAAAGATCCCCCCATCCTGTTGTTTGTTTGTCTAGAGAGAGAGAGTGAGCATATCTCACTTCTTCAGCCTGTTGACAGTTGTGACAAAAGGCCACAGTCGGTATGCCCCTCTTCTTCAGGTTCACAAAACACAACAATTTATTCTGAATTGCTAAGACACAAACCAACGAAGCTCTAGGTCTAGAGCCCCTCCAACTCACTGTGTACCAGTCCACAGTTGGGTTATGACTCCTCCATTTATCCCATACATTAATTCCTAAGAGTAAATCTGCCATGTCTCCACTACAGTTGGTCAGAGCCTTGCTTCAAAGTCAGGGAGAAAACGAAGTTCCTAAATTGCATTACAGAACTAGAAACGCTTACAGGAAGTTGCCACTGCCCGTTCTGAAGAATTCTGGAAACTAGGGACTGCTTTGGCAGACCAAAATCCCTATACATTCTGGACCCCAATTTATCTGGCATACATTCACCTTGAATCCATGGGTCCGTAAAAAGGAAAGTGAATTTCCATCACCAATATGGAATTCAGCATTTGTAAGCATGAAATCTCTCATCTCTAGCATTCTCCTCCACAAAAGAGAGTCAGTAGTTTTAAAGTGATAATTCCAGTAAGAGACCACCCTAGAATATCTACACCTACCCCCCCCCCCCCCCCGGGTGAGAAATTTGGGAGGGTTGTGTACTTTCAGTCACCTATTAAATAAGCTATGTGAGTTAAGACCATGTTAATACTTGCTTTACTTGGGTTAATATAATGCTTTCAATGGACCTTTATTATAATGCTTGTTTTGCTTGGTTTAATTTTGGCAACTTTACAACTTGCTTTACATTAATTTTCTTACTTCAACTATTACATCTTTGTAAGTCAAAGCTAGGATTGCAGGTTGCCGTTGCCGTTACTTTTTTTGTTGCCGCTATTTTTTTGTATGGCTCATGAAGAAGTTACAAGAAGATTGGAAGAATTTTTATTTTACTTTGGTTAAGTAAATATATAAGGTGTGGATCATGTACTTATTTGAAATTTGTATATGGTTAATTTTTTTATAAAACAATGATTTGGAGTTGGTTATTGATATATATATATATATGATGTTATTGGTCAGTTGTAAATTATTTTGATTATAATAATATTTTTTATTTATTTAGGGTTTGCTTATGGTCCTGCAAGGCTGGTAATAGGAAAAAAAAAAAAAAAAAAAAAATGGGCTACACTACATTTTTTTTTTTTTTTTTTAAAATTATATAACACTTTCTACCACGGTGCATAACCGTGGTGGAAAGAAAGACTTTCTACCATGGTGCGGAACCATGGTAGAAAGTCTACTTTCTATCACGGTTTTGCACCGTGGTAGAAAGTCAACTTTCTACCACGGTGTAAATTGGTTAATCTTTGGCAATGGGAAGCTATCCTTGAAGCATACTTTGTTCAAATTGGTGAAGTCAATACATACTCTCCATTTCCCATTCTTCTTCTGCACAACGACTACATTTGAGAACCAAACCAGGTACTGAACTTCTCTAATGAACCCTGTATCTAGCAATCGGTCAATCTCATCAGCTATGATTTGATTGCGCTCTAGGGCGAACCTTCTCTGCTTCTATCTTACAGGCTTGGCGCTCGGGTCTACATTGAGGGAATGACAAGACACGGAGGGACTAATTCTTGGCATGTCTGAATGGCTCCAAGCAAACACATCTGCGTTCTGAGACAAGAAGTCAATTAACTATTGTTTCTCCCCCTCTGCAAGCCTTGACCCCACCCTTGTTGTTCTGTCCGGCTTAGGAGAATCTATCTGTACATCAATAAGAGGCTCTTCCGTAAAAACCAAAGGCTCATCCTCCCTCCCGATCGCTTTGGGGGGAGGTCCCTATAATTGCTATCTCGGATTGTCAGATCAGCCTGGAGCTTTGCCTTTACCAGCAGCTTTCATTGTCACGGAGTAGCATTCCTTGGCTACGACCTGATCCCCATGGATGTCAATCACCTTGCTCCCATCCGGGCTCAAGCATCTCATCACCTTATGCAGAGTTGATGGGACTCCCTAGACCCTATGGATCCATGCTCTTCCATTCAAGAGATTGTAAGACGGATGGATCTCAACAACCACAAAGCTCCCTGTTAAAGTTCTTTCAGCAACTTGTACTGGCAATTCTACCATACCAATGAGCTCAACCCATTTCCCAATGAACCCCAGCAATGGATTTCTAGTGGGTTTGAGTTTTTCTGGCTTGATCTCGAGCCGGTCAAACGTTATTCTCGGCATGACATTTGCACTGAACCAGGCAAAGATGTTGCTCGATGTCCTATTTTCACTTGTGAGCGCTTTCGCATCGGTGGAGCCTGAGAACTCAGGTGGGCTCCCTTTTGTGAAAGAACTCCTAGCCTTTTCTCAAGTATCAGTCTGAACCACTGGTGTTGGTATAGGTGCCTGCTGAACCTATGGTTGATTCCGAAGTACAGCTGTTACCCCTGCCTCTATAGCCCAAGCAATGAGATCATTGAAATAAGAAGGAGAACCTGCTGAACTTCCTCCTGCTCTTCCTGAAACTGACCATCATCATCCTGAAACCCAGGCATTTGCTGCTCTTGATTGGCACCTTCTGAATGGGTTGCAACAATTTATATGATACGTAACTTCTAGTTTGCACCTTTTGGAAGTTTATAAATAGCAATGGGTGCTGCACATTGTGGGTTCACTTTTTTTTTGTTCTCTTTCTTGTCTTTAATCATAACAGTTTCAAGGAGTGTTTAGAAAATTTCTTCAGTATTGCTAACTGTATGAATTAAGATTTTATTGTATCTTGGAGGTGTTTTGCTATGGAACTCGATTGCAAACTCTGTGAGGGTGGGAGCAAGTAACACCTTAAGGAAAGTGACTATACGCCTCAAAGCCACAAATCATACTTCCTTTTTTAATCCCTATGTATTTGACTAAACAAAAATTGTTTTCAATCCCTAACATACACAAGTGTGGGAACTCTTGTTAGTTCACCTACCAAACTCAACTCATAACAAAATTAGGTGGTTATGAAGTTATGGCTTATGGGGGTTATGACTTATCAATAGGCCAGTGAGGGAATTTAACAAACTTTAGTGAGATTTTGTGGAACGTGGATGCCAATCAAATAAGTGAGCTTACATTTTTCATGGATTAGGGTGTAACTAGAATAAAATATACTTGGTGAAATTAGAAAATTGTTATCAATCCTACTTAGCAGAACATGCTTGCTTGTATAAATCAGAGAAGAATATATCTAGACACAAATTTAAGTCTATAGGAATAACTTTATGATGTTATGAACGTACTACAAAGTTGATCAATTGACATTAGCCTAAATAATATGGTCTTTCCTTTCCAACAGGCAAGTTGACTGTTCGGGCTATGTTAGTGGGTAATGTTGTAGTGTGTGTTTGCTAAAACGAAAAAAAAAATACAAATAAATTAACAACAACTACAAAATTAGCAGGGAAAATTTTTTATGAGATGTCCAAATGTCCATTTAGAATTTAAATCATTGAACAACTTATTGTATTTTTTTTTTTCGATAACCGGGATGTTCGGGGCCTTGCCCGACTAATCCACGTGAAGCATGCATCCTCCCCAACACACACACGGATTGGGTAAAATTTAGACTATATGCGCGAGTCCTGCGGGTCCCGAGACTTTTGATACTTCATGAGATATCAGAACTTAAGTCTTTTTCAACTAGGCCAACTCCAAATTAATTTCTTTATATTTATTTATTTATTTATCTCCATTTACTTAGTGCAAAAAAGCAAACGGAGAGCAAATGAGAAGAGATTAAAAAAAATAAAAAAATAAATTGGATTGACTAATGTCATATAAAGCATGGTAAACTACTCTAATAAATTATTAGTAATTTTCCATATGCTTTATCTTGGTGTCCAAATGCTCTTTGCAGGACTTGAAATGTGAGTCTACTTCAATGGTGTAAACTCAATATCACAAAATTTACAGATTCGTCATGGAGTGAGATTAGGTTGGATTTCTCGTCACTGATGAATATAGTTTTAGAGTTTTAGTTTGGATTTCTCCTCATTGTTGGCATTTATGATATTTTTCAATGCTTTATACACTAGAATGGCGAAAAAAAAAGATGTAAAACTGTGCATTTGAATTGATGCAGTGTATAATAGTTGTTACAACAAACACAGCCAAACCACATACAAAAAAATAAAAAATATAAAATATAAAAAATAAAAAAATAAAAATAAAAAATTGACTAGAAATGTAAAATATGCGCCACATAAAATACAAAAATTTATATAGTTCGTCTTGTAACCTACGTCCATGGTAAATATCGCCCTATAGTATTATAAGTTATCAAGCCCTCAACTTGTTTTTTCTCTCTCACTCTCTATTCTAGTTAGCTTTTATTGTTCTTTTTATCCCACACTACAAACCCTAGCATCCTTATATTCCAGATCGAATAATATAAGAGACTACATTTCGGATCCACAACCTGGAAGACAAAAATGGATAAAAGAAATTTTAGGGGACACAACTCCACAAATTCATCATGGTCAAATCTTAATTATCAGGTCCAAAAACACACAAAACTCAATAAACCTCCACTTAATTCTCTCTCTCTCTCTTTTAGATGATAATTCCAATTTTTTCCATGTAATAGGATAATTTGAATAAAAAACAAAAGAGATAAATAAGTGTCACTCGAACAAGACCCGGTCTTGGGTTGTGCGCTTTGGCATGACAAATTATGTCTTTTTAAACAGAATAATTATTAGTGGATTGGGCTTCTTGGGCTTGAAGTTCTGTCGGTTAAAATGACCTGGGAAATATTCCGAACCCCAAATAGAATTTGGAATAGCCTACAATCTCAAAACGGTTGCACCAAAATTAAATGGGTAAAGGTGTGTGTGACCCTGGTGCATGGGTTGTGTCTGTTTAGGGGCTGTTTGGTTAGTGACAGAGCGTGAACCATAGCATTCGAATTAAAGGGAAAATTATACACCACCCCAGCCCAGGGTAGCAGTTGTATTGTACTTATACACTATCCCAGGAGTAGCAATTGTTAAATACCCATGGCGGGTCACAATACCTCAATAATAACTTCTTGAATTAAAGAGGTGCACCGTGCACCGAAAGGTCACATCCTTACACCAATAAACATCAATTTGCCTATAAATACCCACCAAGTTTTTGAGAGGTGGCGGATCAGGCAAGCCTGGGTCTAAACCCATTACCACACGAGCCACCCGACCAGGTCCAGGCCTCGGCTTTTGGTTTGTTCTAAAACTAATTTATTTATTTTAAACAGAATAATTATTAGTGGATTGGGCTTATTGGGCATCTAGTTGTGTGGGTTAAAATGACTTGCGTTAATCCAGAATATTTCAAAATCCAAAAAAAATTCGGGTTAGCCCACAACACCTACTGTTAAAACCAAATTAAATGGGTAAAGGTGTGACTGGTGGTGCATGGTTTGTCTCTGTTCGGGTTATGGGTTGTTTAGTTAGTTACAGATCAATAGTAATTGGTTATGTCTATTTAGGGTGAGCCATTGCACGCAAATTAAAAAGGTTCACCTAAAGATAGGCTGTTAATGGATCGGATAGATCAAATCCACATTCGATTTGTTAAGCAAATGGATTATCGAATTCAGATCACTAACAGATTTTCAGACGGAATGTCTCAATCCATATCCTATTTACGTTGGACTCGGATCGAATCGGATTCGAATTCAATTAAAATCATATTTACTAACATATATAATTATAAAATTAGATGATGTAGAGAATTGCTAATATACAAAATGCTACATAATATAACTATGCAACCAAATGAATATAATGATAAATAATTGATATAAATAAATTTAGTAATATATAACTAATATATATAACATTGATGAGAACACCACACTATTAATATGTATATTAAGAGATTTATTAGTATGTGAATGACAACAACACACTATTGTATATATAACATTATGATTTTTTTTTTTAAAGATTTTTTGGTTACATCTAATACAATTCTAATAGAAGTATTGATATAAATATGTAAAATTATTGATAAATAATTATATATATATATATATAATTATATGTATATATAATTATTTATATATATAATTTTAATCGGATCGGATTGGATTTTTTTCGGATCGGATCAGCATAATTCATATTCGATTTGTTAAGTTGACGGATTATCGGATTTAGATCGTAATCGGGTTACCGGATTTTTTGTTTAATCCATATCGAACTAATCGGATCGGATTCGAATCGGATTTGGATCAGGATCCGCTCCATTGACCGATCTACCCAAAGGACGTGTTTTTTCAGGCTCCAGTTTGCCATAAATACCTACCACTTGACTGCCATTTATTCCATCACTTTTTTGAGATTGCTTCTCTCCCTCTCTCGACTTTAACCTAATCTAAGTGAGTTCAAATTATGGTCAAGTGGTCCGAGCTAGTAGACCAAAACTTAGCCATATTCATATTGATCTTAGTCATTTTGTTCGGATTGCACCCAAATCTTTATTTATGTAGTGTAGATAGGTAGATGTATTTTTCAGTCGTAGGGAGTAATAATTAAAAAGCTTGACTGGAAATATGAAATGTGAAGAACTTCATGTAGCCTAATATGGAATAATAATTATTGCTTGGAAAAATACCATTACTATCCCACTCGTTGTAGGATTACGTTTGATATGCCCATTATACAAGAATTTTATTTTAATTTTCTTTCTTTAATTTTATGTTATACCTTAACAGAAAAGAATCATCTCTAGATCTTCAGGGAAATAATATTAAACAATACAAGAAGGAATAACATTCATATTGAACAACAATAAACAATAATTAAAAGTAAAACCATACAAAAAATGACACCACAAATCAATAAAAGAAAATCTCTCACACACACCAAGACAACAGATACATATTACATGCTCTAGTTGGGAGAAAGATGAACAGAGTTGTAGCATTTCAAGGGCTAGTTTTAGATGGTGGTGGTGAGAAGAATGGAATTGTTGGCATTGTTGTTGGGATGGTCGGGATTGAAGGAATTGTGGTTGGAACGGTTGGGATAGTGGGCAGTGAAGTAGCTGGCAGTGGAGGCAGTGACACCTTAGGAACTGTGGGCATGGTTGGCAAGGTTGGTAGTGCGTTACTCGGTAATGGTGGCAATGTTGTCTTAGGCAGTGTAGGCATGGTTGGTAGCGGAGTACTTGGTAACGGTGGCATTGTGGTTTTAGGCAGTGTTGGCATGGCAGGCAATGGAGGCAATGTTGCTTTAGGCAGAGGAGGTATGGTTGGCATTGTAGGCAGTGTAGGTGTTGCAGTTGGAGAGGTTTGCAAGAGGTTGCGAGCTGCGAGGCTCATATGGATGCTTGAAAGTGATAATGCTACAATCAAACATAGAATAAAAGAATCCTTAGAAGCAGCCATAGTTTGATAGTAGTTGAAGTTCACCTTGATTTTTTTGGAAAAAACTGTACCGCAAGTTCTTTTTCTGTTGAAGGAAAACATGGACTCGTGGGTATATATAGAGAACAAATGTTGAAGGATTCTTAAGATTTGGTAGGACAAATGTGTGGTTGATGAGATGCGGTTGACCTAAGTGAGGGAACTCTTGTTAGTTCACCTCCCAAGCTTTGACTCGTGGCAAAAACAGAAGTGCTAACTCACCAAGCCATCTTAAACACAAAATTAGTTATGACTTATGGGCCTTATGACTCATTAATAGGCCAGTGGGGGAATTAAACAAATGTAAAACCCTTAAATTTCGTATATTATTTATTATTTAGTATTTGAATGTTATATTAGAGATATTAGAGTTTTTAAAATTTAAATTTCAAAAAGGAATTCTAAACTATCTCAACAACAGTTATAATTATCTTTTATAACTCACGCCGTATCAGTTCTACAAAGATATTATTTTGTAAAACAAAAAAGAAAGAAAAGAAGAGAGAAGCGTGATATATAGAGAGTGATATTTTAATTTGACGTCTTTAGTAACCAAAATGAAAGACGGTGACCAAGAAATTGCCTAAAGAAGAAGGAGAAATTATATTTCAATAGTCGATTGTCTAGAAAGGAAGGTGAAATGATATTTCAGGCAAGTTAATCTTGCATTGTACTGTTATATATATTTGTAACTTGCTTTTGATGAATCTTGTATGTTTTAATAAATAATAGGGAAAAAAAATTTCTTAATGATAGTTAGTTACGATTAGGATAATATAGTTGTATAGGTTGTCATCTTGAATTTAATTGGACGAGAATTATTTATTACTATAGAGTAGATAAAAATTTAATTGCAGAAACTTTGGTTATTGGTTTTGTTAAATTTGTAAAGATTGGTTATGTTATTATTACATTAGTAAATTGATATACAAGTATACATGTTACGATTTATTGATCTCACCCAAAGAATCAGAATGATTATTAATATTTAGTTATTGTTATGAACTATTTGTCTTATGTAATCTATGAGATATGGTTAGAGGACTAGATCATAGAATTATAAATTGTGTATTAAGTATTTAAACTTTGGATCTATATATACATATATACATGTATGTATAATTCTTGGAGGCATGAACATGAAAGCAAGCATCTTCATATGGATATATGTATATATGTTTAGATACGAACATGTGAATTAGGAACTGAAGCAATGTCTGCATTTTTTTTTATTGAACCGAAATTGTACGATCCTAATCTTGTTATATAGAATAGTTGACGATCCGAATCAAAGTCCCATAATTTAGGTTACTGATGATACAAGTTGTTAGATAAACTTCTTAAGATAGATATAGATTGGATTGTTGGTACATTATGAGTCTAATTGGGATGGAATGGTTAGGGTGTAACTTTGAATTTTCTTAAATTTAAGCTAGTATGCCGTTAGAATTCTTAAATGATTATATGCATCGGAGTATAGTTGGCAGCACTATTGTAACTCGATTAGGAAATTTATATGATTTAATATTAACCAAATTGAATACTCTTACTTTTTGGTCATTCATAACTATATATATATAACTTGCGAAAATTGAGTTTAGGGACTTTGTCTGTCTGTGATTGATATATATATAGAGTATTGCATTGTATACATGATTGCTTTGGTTCATGTTAATCATGTAGCAGGACCGGGTAATGTGTGCATCAATGGCAGATGTTTATACATATGTTTATTTGATATATTATGCATGTGAGTTTAGTCCATAATTACAGTGACTTGTACGCACGTGATGGCCGGGTTAGATTGCAAGTTACTCTTATTTTTCATATTTTGTTGATATTGAAAACAGATTGAAATAAAATACAATTTGATTAAAGGAAATAAAATAAAATATTATTTCTTTATATTTTATTATTATTCTTTTTAATTGATTTTAAACTAATGGAAATAAGGAAAAATAGTATTGTTATTCTAAAAAAATTGAGAAAATTTTCAGAATATTAGTTTTAAGTATAATGAACTTAGTTTGTTGATTTCCTGATTTCTAGATGATGTTCAAGAGTTTTATTAAATAAAAACCCGAAAAAGTATATTTTTTTTTTTCAACACTAAAGAGGTGGGTACGGAAAAAAACTATTAGGAGTAGACTCTGAAATCTTACAGGAGCTTTGGGCTATGTCCAAAATTTGGTACTCTCAGTAGTTGGGTCATTAGAGTTCTGTTTTTAAATTAAAAGTGTGTTTAGGTGTATTACTTATTAATTTTAATTATTAATTAATAATGTCTTTCGTAATTCACCATAATTAATAATTAATGGATGAGTTTGGATTAGTCGGAGGGGTAGTCAGGGACTAACCCTATGATGACTTTTGGGTATGGTCAGGGACCTACCTATTTGGGAGTGCACTACCCTTTTATTATGGTCATGGGTTTAATGAGCCCTTATTGTGTGGACGTGATCAGGGATCATCTGGGGAGTAGACGTATAATCCAGTCACATGTGTATTTTCGATAGTCAGGGACTATACGATTCACACCACTTTATTGGATAGGAGCCCGGAGCTTATATGAGATATGTGGATTTATTAAAAGTAAATGATGGTTATTTATTGAGTTTATAATTAACTACGATATACATATTTGATTAATGCACTTGTTTAAGTTGCTTATATATATGGGAATACATGGTAAGGTTAGTTTGCCGAACGATGATTGTGTTTAGCATTTCTTGCTGAGCTTGTGAGCTCACCCTATTATCACATTTCAGGTACACGTTGAGTAAGAACGTGATGGGATCATGTGGCAGCGATGGATATTAGCTCGTTGCGCATTGATTTATTTTAGCTCGGTTTTCTGTTATTATGATCACTGTAATAAAGTTAATGTATTGCGAAACTTTGTCTAGTTGATTCAGTGGTCATAGATGTTTTATTATGTTAGAGGGAATTTCACCTCTCTTTGTGAATTTGATATATGTTTGTCAAACATTCATGTTTAATAAATTGGATGATGGAGATTCATTATAGTTATATTTTATAATGGATATATATTAAGAATTAGTGGAAGTTATAAATCAGATTTTACGTAGAGTATAAAGAGTTTTTGTGTTAAAATTTGGGGTGTGACAGTTTGGTATCAGAGCCTGACTCAGCCGGAAGTGTGCCGACGGGGACGTTAGGCCTCCAAGGGGGGTGGATTGTGATGACCCTGTGGACGGGTGTGCTGTGAGTGGGTGCGAGGAACACTATCAGGCTACCACACTGACGAGCTACGGGTGCACAGTCCCACATCACCTGTGTAGAGGAAAGGTGAAGTGCTTTATATGTAGGTGTGTCACTCCAATTGGTATAAGGCCTTTTGGGGTAAAACTCAAGAGCAAAACAGTGCGCGTTCAGGCCCAAAGCTGATAATATCATACCATGTGGTGGAGTGGGTTATTGCAAATGGTATCAGAGCCTAGCTTAAGAATTAACTGGCTGAAGGAAATGATAGTAAGGATAGGAACATATGAGTAATACCCTGTCTATTACAACTCCACTCGGAAGCGCGACGACACTTGATAGAATATGTTGTGTTTGTCTTGTTATAATTAGGGAGCTGGCCGGAGTATCCTATTGATTTAATAGTATTACGGATGAGAGACTTTGATGCTATATTGGGTATGGATTGGTTGGCTAGATACTATGCTCAGTTGGACTGTCATGAGAGGATTATTGTATTCGCAGTTCCTGGAAAGTTACCTTCTCGATATAAATGTGGGGAGTTCGAGGGCACCATATCTATCAGATTTCTCGCCCACATTTTGGTGGTTAAGCAATGCGTGACTATAAAGCAGTTACCTACTATGTCAAAGTATGCAAATGTGTTTCAAGATATTCCGAGTTTGCCTCCTAGGAGGGTAGTGGATTTCTGCATCAACCTCACTCCTGATATTTCACCTATCTATAGGACAACCTACAAAATGACGCCAGCTGAATTGAGTGAGTTGAAGAAGCAGACTCAATAATTGTAAGATCGGGGGTTTATTCGACCTAGCACATCACCTTGGGGAGCACCTGTTTTACTTGTCAAGAAGAAGAATGGTCACTCCGCTTATGTGCTGACGACCTTGCGTTGAATAGGGTCACTAGTGACATGCATTGATGATTTGTTTGATCAACTCAGAGGGGCACAGTTGTTCTCTAAGATTAACCTGAGGATTGGTTACCATCAGCTGAGGATTAGGGAGGAGGATATTCCTAAGACTGCCTTCAGGACTCGTTATAGCCTCTATGAGTTCTTAGTCATGCCTTTTGGGTTGACTAACGCTCCGGCAGCTTTTATGGATTTGATGTACCGAGTGTTTCGACTTTACTTGGATTAGTTTGTTGTGGTATTTGTTGATGACATTCTGATATATTCCAAGACTAAGGAGGAGCATGAGAAACACTTGAGCATTACACTTCAGACTCTGCGTGAGCATCAGCTCTATGCTAAGTTTGAGAAGTGTGACTTTTGGCAGGAGCAGATTCAGTTTTTGGGGCATGTGATCTCTAAGGATGGAGTTTGAGTGGATTCTGCCAAGGTGGAGGCTGTGATAAGTTAGAAATGGCCTACTACTATCATTGAGATTTGTAGCTTCTTGGGACTGGCAGGATACTATAGGCGCTTCATTGAAGGTTTCTCCAAGATTGTTGCACCTTTGACTCGTTTGACTCGGAATGATGTGAAGTTTGTTTAGGACCACCACCGTAAGCAGACATTTGAGGAGCTGAGGACGAGATTAACTTCAGCACCAGTTCTTATTATTCCTGTTAGTGGTGAGAGATTTGTTATTTCCACAAATGTGTCACATCAAGGTCTTGGCTGTGTTTTGATACAAGATGGTAAGGTAGTAGTGTATGCCTCTAGGCAGCTTAAGCCACATGAGGAAAATTACCCTACACATGACCTGGAGTTGGCAGCAGTGGTTCATGCATTGAAGGTATGGAGGCATTACTTGTATGGCAAGAAATTTGAGTTATTCTCTAATTACAGGAGCCTTAAGTAC